CTTTGTTGTTGTTTTTGCTTTTGCTTTTCATTTTAAGCCTTTTCAGCCTCAGTTTTAAAAACAAATCAAGCCCATTCTCTTCTCTTCCTCCTGGTGACAGGTTGCCCAGATGCCTGTCTAGGTCAAGGGGACGCTGCTGCATTTTATTTTACCATCAGGCATCGCCCAGCTCTGCAGATTTTTTAACCTCTTAATTCCCAATCGTATTTTGTTCTTTGCTCATCCCATTGTTTCCCCATATTTGCTTTCCTAAACCTTCCAAAATGATTTCCATTGACTCCAAACACTCAGCAGTCTGTATGCCAGGCTGGTTTCTAAGTACGAAGGAAAGTATTTCCCCCCCTTAGCTGCAGAAGATCAGGTGCCCCCAGTTCCAGGTCAGAGCCCAGCCGTCACAGAAAGATTTTCCAGGGATAGGCAAGAGGTTCAAGTTCACCAAACTAGTTCAGTAAAGCCAGGATCAGGCTCACTGCTTGAGGTCCCTGGTGTTTACGGTCTCAGGCTGTCACTTTGATATATCTCTTCTCGGAGTGTGTGCCGTGCACACCGCTGCCAAAGCCACAGCTACAGCCAGGCACGGGGCGGTGCCTGTTTCCACAGTCTGCGTTCCTGGATGGTCCGAATGCCTTTGCCAGGCAACTCGTCCCACAAACCTACGTAAGCCACGGAGAAAGAAAGGAGAGTTGAGCAGAACTGCCCGAGAAGTGAATGGAAGTTGAATGGTCCCTGCACCTCACGTCCAAACCTGTCCTCTGGGTGCGAGAAACTAGGGAAATGGGGGGAAGTTGCCAAAATTGGTGACTTTTGAGTTGTTTGAACATTTTCTGCCCCTCCCCTAAGCGCAGGTTTCCTTGTAGAATAGTGTATTTTTCACAAAAATTACAAATGGTTTCCAGAGAAAACTTTGGAACTGGGTGAAGTCTCACTGTCAATGCTTTTGTTTAGAGTGGGGCTAATGAGTATTTTATCTTCAGACACTGCCATGCTCATTCACTTTTCCAAACAGGGGGGGGAAAAATGTTGAAGGAAACAGTCCTCTCCTGCCCTCGGGTTTTACTTTGCCCAGCTCTGAAGACAGGTCTATACTGCACACTTTTCCCACCACAGTTATATCAGTTCCATCACCTCCAGAACTAAAGACATTAAGCCAAGAAAAGCAACCTGGCCCTGGTGAAGACTGCACCTCCTCTGGGAAGGTCTGCAGGTCGCTTTCTAAGTCAAAGCCATTGCTTTCCGACTGCCAAGCCTTGGGCTCGCGTCTCTCAACTGCTACAGGGGGTCACTCACTTTTCCTGTGCTCAGTCCCTATCTGCACACTGCCTGCCTACGCATCCGTGTGGAGAGGGATACAGGGCTCCATTGTGGAGAAACGAGGAATACGATGGGGTGAGTGGACTGCCCCGTAAGCTGTGAGCACATGTACAGCACCAAGCACAGGGGTGGCAGGCTCAGCCGCCGCAGCAGTGCAGATCGTGCTGCCAGAACTGTCGGCAGCATCACGCCCTTAGCACAGCAGGGAAGTTAATTAAGTAGCAGGAAAGGAAAGGACCATTTAAAGAGCTGAGTCTGAATGACTGAAGGTCTTAGTCACTCATTTACCAACATCTTCGGTAAAAACTCCTTTTAAAATAATTTTGATCTGGATCATGATCCTTTAAGAAATGTCTCAAATCATCCAGCAAGAACTACTGGGAAATGTCACTCATCGCCTGAGACTCCCAGTGTCCAGCATGCTTGTGACAACTGCCACCTCCTCTCCCGGCCTGCAATGTTCGCTGAGGCTGAGCAAGGATTATGAGAGCTGCTAGAGGAGAATGATTTTTATCTTGCAGAAATTGAAAATTTTCTTCTCAAAAAATGTTGAGCTGAAACCTTCCACTGTTGCAATAAAAGCCTCCAAAAGCATCTTCCTGTTTCAGTAAGGAAAAAAAAAGCTCGTAGCATTTCGGAAAGAAACAAAACTCAACAGCAGAAGGCTCTGCATGGAGGCTACTTCACGTTTTAAGAAATATGGGATGGGTGGTCCTGCCGAGCTCCCAGCACACAGCACACACAGCTCAGCCCCAACAGCTGTGTGGGTGGGGTAAGAGCAAAGGAAGGAGCTGCCATGACCCTGCTTATACTGCTTATAGTTTCAAAAGGTTTCATAAAATCAAGCCACAGCCCAAACTGTGCCTTCCTCATGCGATTAAGAGTGTACTTCCTGCGGTGCCTCTCCTCAAGAAAGAAAGGTATCAGTCTGTCTGACTCAGGAGAGGTTGCAGGGTTTACCCCATGGTCTGAATCACCTGTTGCACGCAGAGAGGCAAAAGATGGCAAAATCGAGAGAGTCCCCCCAGTATCATCAGTATTCCAGCAGCGTGCAAAGGCCCACCTACAGATGAGGTGGTGTACTAGGGAGTGACAAACCCTATCCCGAAGCATTTATGTGCCATGTGAGTAAAACTGGGAGAACGTAGGCGCAGCACTGATTTCCCCATGACAGAGGGACACCAGTGGCATTATCAAGCCCAGGCCTCACCGTCACCACAGAATGGTTTGGGTGGGAAGGGACCTTAAAGATCATCTAGTTCCAACCCCCCTGCCATGGGCAGGGACACCTTCCACTAGACCAGGTTGCTCCAAGCCTCATCCAGCCTGGCCTTGGACACTCCCAGGGATGGGGCATCCACAGCTGCTCTGGGCAACCTGTCCCAGTGCCTCCCCACCCTCTCCAGGAAGAATTTTCTCCTGATGTCCAATCTCAATCTCCCTCTTTCATTTTAAACTTGTTACCCCTTGTCCTGTCACCACAGACCCTGGTCGAAAGTCCCCCCAGCTTTCTTCTCAGCCCCTTTGGGTACTGGAATGCGAGGCTGCTGTGGAAAACGCTCGTGTAGGCGCTGTGCGGGAGGGTGCCAGGCAATGCGGAGGCGGAAGGGGTTGAGTGAAGCCTGCCAAGTTTTTAAATAGGTCTAGATGAGAGCCTGTCTCCTGGAGAAACAGATGTATTTGTCTGACAGGCAGCGACACCTCGTGGCACATGGTCCCCCCCCCACTGTCGCTGCCATCAGCACATCCGCTTTTCCTGTGCCAGCTCCTCAGTGACGCCAAAATCAGGGGGAGTTTTGCCACAGGGCCCGGCAGAGCCCAGATTTCAGGGCAGATGTTGCACAGGAAACACTGACGATGGTAAGATTCACCCCTAGAAAACGCTTACTAACACCCCACGTCATCTCCCAGAGAAGCTGCCCAAGGGCTGGCAGCAGGGCCTGGAGACTGGCTCTACGATTGCTTCCTGTCCAGGAAGCCGCAGGAAACGTAGGAGCCCTGATGGTACAGTTTGGCTGCTAAAAGGGAACGGACCTAGGACCCTCCAGAGCCTTAGCTTTGGTGTTCTCCTTATAAAGGATCATAGCTCTTTTTGTATGAGAAACTTTGTGGAACTTAAACGGAGGTCGCAAACCAGCCAAGGAACAGGAAAAGTACTGGGAACAGAAGCCCGTGTTAAGAAGAAATGGAGATTTTTGGAGGAAGTTGTGACTGAAGGAATTGTAACTGCACCTCCTGCCACGGCCCGAGTCGTACCACGTTCGGGGAAATGAGACATCTGGTGCCTTCGTGGTAACCACAGGAACTTTTGCCATTACAAACCCAGCTCCATCCGCCCTCCGCCCGCTTAGTACCCAGAACCTGACACTAACAGGTAGAGCAGTGGGCTGTCTGCGGGGCCTGAGGACTTTCCCATTTGGGAAACCCCAGAAAGGCCCCTTTTCTCTATGCCAGTGTTACCATCTGTGTAGTAACTTTGGTGACCCGTTTCCTTTCCGCATGGCACAGGCCTGGGTGGGACTGTGAAGGGAAGAGAGGGACCGTGCCAACCAAACAGGGCGATTGTTTGGATGATTTTTTCCCCTTCTCTCACTATGCACAGAGTGATGGCACAGCTATTCTGAGTGTTGTCCTTGGCGTAGCTCATGGCTGAACCAGGGTGTTTTCTGCTATGTTTCTGATAGAGAAAAAAAACTCCCTGTCTTTGGTTCAGGAAGATGAGGAGGCTGTAACATCCAGCAGCAACTCAGGAACTGAGTTTTGCCCCAGGAGAGCTTTGGAGTTTGCAGGTACTGCGTGCTGGAAACACAAACACCTCAACAGTGTCACAGCTGCGAATGCCAAGGCCAACGGCCGATGTGCTCATCGACCCAGCAGTGCAGGGGCCAAGACCATCCGTGTGTTGGCACAGCCCTGGCAGCTGCTCCTGATCCTGACTGACATTTTTGGGTTGATGACAATAATTGATAAGTGGTAACTAAGGCATTGGGCAATTGCAGCACTGACATGCAACAAAAGGACAGGACTTAGCAGAAGGATCCACGTCCTTTCGTTCCCTTACACTGTGCGTGGGGCAGATCCCTGTCCCATTTCTGTGCTTTACTTCCCCCATCTGTAAAGTGGAGTAATTCCCTGACTTCTGAAGAACATTCTTAACCTGGTAATGTAAACCAAGAGCAAATCTTGAGTCTCTTGTAAAGAGAAGACTATCATAATACCGCATACCACTGATGATTGGTTACTGGATTTTATTACTGCTAGGTTATTAGTAGAAATGTCCTGCAGAAAAACCTTATTTGATTTCTATTAATATTTCACAGGCACAGAGATTAATTCCAAAGGCCAATTTTTTAATGAGATGCCAGACAAGATAAGGCTCGCAGCGTTTTACTGTGTTCCTCTGCCTACGGGCTGTGACAGAGCTCAGCTACGTTGCACTGGAGGGCGCAGTACTGCAGCTTTACGGCATTTTTTTTTTTTTTTCATGAAAAGCATTCGCATCAGCTGCTTTCCTGCTTCAGCGTGCAGTGCTGTATTTGAGCCGTGCCAGGAAGTAAGGCTGAGCGCATGTCTGCGGGTCATTAACTGCACGCTCCTCCATAATTCATACAACTTGGGACAGGAAAACAGCATGATGCAAAGGTAGCAAGAAAAGAAATACGTTACAAGTGGGAAAGTTTGGGTTCGGCATGTCTCCCTGGGGAGTCGGCGTCCTGATGGCACTGTGCTTCCTGCGGCAGGCCAGAGGTACCGTACAGCTTTTTGTTACTTTTCATTTCGCTACGCTAAGGGGCTCTGCTTGTAGGGGGAAAGACATTGGTAAATTTAAAGCAGTTTAAATGAGAATTATTCACATGAAGTAAAATATCCCACTGTACAGAAATGGAAGTTTAAAACCTGTCTATAGAATGTGTTTGATGAAGGCTGGCAGTGTACGTGTTTACCTGTCAAGTACGAACCATCTCGCCCCGTTCCTGGTAGGATCTGCCTTGGAAGAAATGGGGTTGAACGAGCGGTGCGAGCCAGCTGTCTGCCTCAGCCAGGGGCTCCAAGGTGGGAGCGCAAGGGGGTCAGACTGGAGTTTATGGGGTTGTAAACCATGTCACAGGGAAATCCAGTGAGACCATGGGGAAAGCCACGCAATACTATAGAATAGAATGTTTCACACAGTTTGGGTCCTAATTCTAAAAGCTGTTGAGGTGAAGCTGTTCTATAAGAGGAGAACATGACTGCATCACGGCCATGCCTGCTTCCATAGCCAAATTCCAGTCTCAAATGAACCGAGCTGCTCTGCCCCAGATTTTGAAACCACCCTGGTCAAACCCAGGGGATGTTTCCTATCCTCAAAGGTATTTTCAATCATTCACATAATTTTCTCTCTCAATCAGGTCATAATCAACTTCCCCCTCCTCGAAATGTTACACTACTGTCAAAGGATTTTGACATGATTTTGACTTGGTCTCCAGGAGAAGGCTTCCCGCCAGACATGGCATACACCGTGAGGTATGAAAGGTAAGCGCTTACAAAGACGTCTGACTGACAGTAAGGCACAGGGCAGACACCTTTGCTTGTAGATTGATCAGTGTCTTTATGATCAGTGACCTGGCTGCATCCTTTCACCAAAACCAATCCTTATCCATGTGGAGTGTCCTCCAACCTCTGAGCAAGATACAGTACCCGTCCTCCAAAAGGCTCCTCTGTAAATTATAACAGACCAGCATGTTTAATATTATGGTATACTTCTTTCTTCTGTTAGTCAGGACCGCATTGACAAATGGATAAAGGTTCCTCATTGCAAAAATATTCATAGAACCTCTTGCAACCTGACTTGTGTGCTTCCAAACTTTGTCAAAGCCCGGGCTCGAGTAAAAGCTGTTTCTGGACAAGTCCAGTCGCCGTGGGTAGTGTCACAATTCAAGGAATACCATTTGGATGGTGAGTGTCTATTAGGTTACAGCGTGGATGAAAGGCCATCCCAGCAATAGTGCTGGCATGAGCAAATGAGTAGACACACACCACTAAGACACCAGCAAGCACTAATCTTACATCTGGTCACTCAATTACAGTGGAACTGGCTCCCCCAGTGCTAAATGTGAATGTCGAGGAGAACTTAATCCATGTGAATGCCTCCTTCCCTTTGGCCACCTGTGTGGAGGGATTCTCTTGGATGTACGACTTGAACCTTTGGGAAGCTGGATCTGAAGACAAGGTCAGTAAAAGTCATTAGATGAGACAGAGGAACAATGCCCAGCTTGAACTGAAATAGCTTCAGATTTCTGGGCAGGGAGGAGCTGGATCCAGGGCCTGGAGAAAATGAAATGGCCAAACCAGAGTTAAAACAAAGCCAGAGGATAAAAAGTAGATGTGTGTGAGTGCATTCCTATTTTATTGGTAGTCAATGGTAGTTCCCTTTCCTATTCTAATCCTTTTTTTATCAGGAAGATGAGATGAGGAGGCTACACAATAGTCAGTATAAAAGGGGAATATCTGAGGTTTAAAACACCAAGTTCAGGTACTGTTAATAGCAATGCCATGGCAGCACAGAGTACAGCACCAGCCGGAAATCCCTCCCTAAAATCCATAAGCCCTAGGAGAGGTGCTTGGTACAAAGAGCAAGCAAGAGTTGAGGTGCCTCTCCATGCACCTTCCAACCACTGGAGCCACGCAACATGATGGAGAGAATCGTGGGCTAAAAAGGTAGAGAAACACCACCCAGATAATGAAATAATCATCTTTCCAATCCTCTGTCTTTTTTGTTTCTAAACAGAAGGAATACAATGATAACTTTAGGAAGAATACAGTGACTATTGACACCACTGCACTTAGAGGCAACTACTGTTTAAGTGCCAGATCTTCCTTCCAAAGCATTGACTTCAAGCACAGCAAATTCTCCCAACCAGTATGTGTGCTACTAAACCACAAAGGTATGTCCCTGCTGAGAAAAAGATGTAGTGAGACTTCAAATGGGATTATGGCAAGTCAAAGATTTCCATAAAAATTAGCTTTCAACCAAAAAAACGGGTCTCCCTGCTAAATGGAATGATTGGGTTTTCTGGTGAAAGGTGTCTGCTTTCCATAGAAACATTTTCATTTGAAAAAATCCAACCCTGAAATGTTTCATGAAAATCCTCAAATATTGTACTTGAGTAATGCTGGAAATATTCAAATTCTGGGAATATTCAAATTTCTGCTGAAAATACCTGCTCCAAGTAAGGCACTGGCTGGTATCAACACTCATTTCTGACTGTGACTCACACTTAGTCAAGTCTGGTTTCGTTTCTCTGAATTTATAAAATGAGCACCTCTAGCCTAATGTTTACTGAAATTTCTGAAAGAAAAGCAGAGTATAATAGCCCATTATTAGCATGAAATATACCACCAGCAGGAGATTATTTTTGCCTTTTTATTTTTCAGCTGTGGAATGGAAGTTCCCATTTTCTGCCACGATCCCTGTGTTAGCCCTCCCCATCCTTCTGACAAGTGCCTTCACCATCTGCTTGCTGAAACAAGATGCTAAGCACAAGAAGGTGCCTCATGCTTTGGTACGGCCCAAACTGGGGAGGAGTGGGGGAGTTCTGCACTCCCCAATTTTTCATTCAGAAGCCCCATTATAAGTCAGCTTTCATTCAGGCATGTCCTTTATCCAAATTTTCTTTAAAAAGCATCCCTAACTCGCTGATCTGTATGTCTTGTTTCTTTTCCCTGGCAGGATTTCTTTCATTTAAAAGCTGCTGGACCAGCCTTTCAGTGGGAGCTCAGTGAAAAGGAATTCTTGAGGGACTACCTTATCTGCACAGAAAATCCAGTGTCACAAAACAAAGCAAACAAAACTTCAGGAAGAAACAACCTACCATGCGTGGGTTCTTTCCTCTCATCATCATCATCAGAAGAGGAGGAGGGGGAGGAGGAAGAAGAAGACGACAGCAGTACTTTCATTCAATACACTGAAATGCCTCAGTTTCCTAAGAGATATCTCAACTGTCAATCATCCAGAACAACTCAGGGGGAAACTAGCTTGGACTCCGGATCTGGAGGGCTCTCCGTGGATAGTGAATCTGTGCTTGACCTAAGTACCTTGGGTTTCTCTTTCTTCCCAATGAGAAGGAATCAGGTGGACACCTCAGGATCCCAAGGAAATGAGAAGGCATCCCTTTCTCACAGTTCCTCTTTGGGAAGAATATCCCTCACTGATATAAAGTCCCCAGGTCCCAGAGAACATGAACAGCGTGATACAGACGGGGATGAATGCCTAGAAATGACCTCTTTTCACACACTGATGGAGGGGACTTGTGCCAAACTCCCAGCCAATGAACACCCCCTGCATAGGAAGGCTCATCATCTCCCCAAGTATTCCCAGAAACCAACAGCTGATCTGCATGTCGGGATCGGTGAAGTACCACAGCTCGGTGAGGATCCCAGCTCTGAGCTGCTCACTGCCTTCCAGACATTACAGGTGGCACAAGATGAAGGTATTGCAAGTGACTGCGACAGCGATAATTTTGCAGAAGGGACACCTCCTGCATCCACGCTGCTAAGTGACTCATTCGAACCTTCAAATAGGGAGGAAAAAGACAATCACAAGTTTAAATTCAAAGGCTACGAGCACAGATATGATATGAGAACGAGTTAGGGTACCCTAGCAGTTCTGTGGCATGCCTGGAAAACGCTAGAGAGCTCCACATAACCAGGCAAGGATACCTGAACGAGAACAAGAAGTAACTAATAGCGGGGCTTTTTGTATTTATTCACCTAGACAGAGTTTTTTCTACTCATGTCCAGCCTATGACAGTATAGAGCTTTAGGGACACAAAAGGTGTATTTTTACTGCTAAATAACTAAGGTACATTCACCATCCCTCTGTACAGGTACAGCAGTGATGAGGTGTTTCTGGTATGAGGCCTCTCTGAACCCAGCCAGGGTGAGGCAGTGTAGGGTGAACAGAGCAAACACAGTGCCTTGTGTTCACTCGAGACTTCAGAGCAAAGTAACTTTTACATGTGAGTTAGGAAAGGCAAAAATGCCTCTGAGACAGCAAAAACCACAACCCAGACCTGTGTGAAACCATCAGCTGGGTGCTGAAAACGCAGTGGTGTGCCTGTGTGTTGCTTTTTAGGTAGGACAAACTGACACTGGCCTCTCTGCGACTGTAGAACTGCAGCCCGGCTTGGCTGGAAGTAGCTTACAGAGACATTAACAACCTTTGCTGTCTGTGGGATGAAAAGATCTCCAGCCTGCAGTGATCACCTTCAGTGTTTCAACAGAGTGAACTGAAGTCAAGGTGATAAATGTGCAACTTGTTTTTTTTTTTTTTTATACGCAAATATACTTATTGGAGCTGAAATTCCCTCTGCTGTGCAGAATGTCTGGGAGCTGCTTTATACAGACGCATAAAATACAATATTTTGGTATATAACTCTATGTGTGTGTGTTTATGTTTCCCAGAACGACAAAGGGTTTCTGCAGCTCATCCTGAAAACCATTAGATTTTAAAACAGGACTCAGTCATGGGCTTCCCATTCCTAATACTTCGGTTTGAGTGGAAAGCCCAGAAAGCCAACCATATCCTGGGCCACATCCAGAGCAGCGTGGCCAGCAGGGCGAGGGAGGGGATTCTCCCTCTCTGCGCTGCTCTGGTGAGACCCCCCTGGAGTTCTGCCTCCAGCTCTGGAGCTCTCAGCATAAGAACGATATCGACCGCTTGGAGCGAGTCCAGAGGAGGCCACGGAGATGCACCGAGGGCTGCAGCCCCTCTGCCATCAGGACAGGCTGGGAGACCGAGGAGACCTTAGAGCCCCGTCCAGTGCCTGGGGGGGCTACAAGGAAGCTGGGGGGGACTTTTTACAAGGGCCTGTAGCAACAGGACAATGGGTAAGGAGTTTAAACTGAAAACGGGTAGCTTTAGATTAGATATCAGGAAGGAATTCTTCCCGGAGAGGGTGGGGAGCACTGGGACAGGTTGCCCAGAGAAGCTGTGGATGCCCCATCCCTGGAAGTGTCCAAGGCCAAGCTGGATGAGGCTTGGAGCAACCTGGGCTAGTGGAAGGGGTCCCTGCCCAACAGGACAATGGGTAAGGAGTTTAAACTGAAAACGGGTAGCTTTAGATTAGATATCAGGAAGGAATTCTTCCCGGAGAGGGTGGGGAGCACTGGGACAGGTTGCCCAGAGAAGCTGTGGATGCCCCATCCCTGGAAGTGTCCAAGGCCAAGCTGGATGAGGCTTGGAGCAACCTGGGCTAGTGGAAGGGGTCCCTGCCCATGGCAGGGGGGGTGGGACTGGATGATCTTTAAGGTCCCTTCCAACCCGAACCATTCTGTGATTCTATTAAACTCATGAGACTTCCCAGACAGGTGTCTCTCTGGGTCACTGAATGACTGGGACTGTGACCATCTCTCTGAGCCAAGAATAGAATCACAAGTGCACCAGCAAAAGAGAGAGACAAGGCCTGTCTTCACTGGTCAATACTGACCTTTTCAGTGTGTTTTTAATTTGCACTCCGCACATCTCATGGAAACATACTCTCCTGTTTTATTCCAGTAAAAGCACACGCAGAAAAGCAAAGCATTAAAAGAAAGAGACACACAATAGCCATTGTCTGCCTGCAAAGAGTTATTCAGGTGAGGGAAGGGTGTTGACGGAGGGTATTAAAGATGACATCTTTGGAGAATCAGAACAACATCAGAGAGAGGTAGGGGTTGATAGGAAGGGGTTGGGAACTGCTTTGAAAGAGGAAAGCAAGATGGACTATTTAAGTTCCTGAATTAAAGTAAAAAGGGGAGGTGGGAGAAAAGATTAATCAACTAGAATTTTCCTTTTTTTTAACTTTTCCTCTGCAAAATGTCCTTAGGTACATCCTGCATTGTAATCCCTCCTGTTCCTTTAGAAAGATACAGATCATCCCAATACAATCACCACCCATTTTCTTGTGCAATCAAGGAATACCCCCAGGCTTTGAGTTACAGGAAGCTCAGAGGTTGTGTAACCTCTACAGAGTTATTTTGACATGTCACAGCTCTGCAAACAGGGCCTGGGAGCACTTTTTGTCTTGTTCAGCTTTTCTCAGGATGGAAGCTGGGGGAAAGGCTGCAGCATCTGGCTCCTCCATGTTTTCTTTCAGCAGGGCAAAGACCTGCTTTCCACCACAAAAGGGTCAGGGATGGCCAGAGCACAGTGCTCCACTTCCAGAGCAATCCTGTCCCTATTGTACACCTTAATGTTTGTAGCTGTATAAGCGGAAGAGCAGCTCTCCCTTCTCACTGGAAGCGGTATGACCCAGTCAACCGAAAAACCTGGACATTGCTCATCTACTGGGTAAGTACAAGAGCTGGAATCAAGTTTCCTGCATCCCGGATCAGCTCCTCACTAGGCTTCATGCATCCTCGCAGTGAGGCTCTGCAGCCTCAGCCCTACAGCAGCTCAGAGGAGATAACCACCTTGGCCTTTTTGGCCTTAATCTACTATCATCACAAATCTCTGGCACACAGATTTTCCTCCTCTTTCCCCAACTGTCCCAAGTTGTAAGCAGTGTTCCATGGAAAGTCTGTGTTATGAACCTCTTAGCCTATTTTGTCCTTAGGAACTAACTTCTGACACAGGATCAGGGTTTACAGTTTGGAATTTGAAAGCAAAGGGTTTAATTTTAAACTTGGAACCAGACTTTTGGAGATCTTCAGGCATCTAAGGATTCACAGAGGTGTTTCCTGGGCTATTCAAAAGGTAACAACTCTCTAGAAATAAGGGTAAAAATAAAGCTTTAAGTTATATTCCCAAAATTAAAGTCTCAGGTGCACTATGATTTCCCTCACCTCGGCCTTATCATGGGTCATCACACAGCAGAAGCATGAGGCAGTGATGTGAGGGAAGGAAAAAAATGGAAATACTTTAGCAAGCTATTCAGGAAACACCCTAACGAAGAGTTGTACTTAATTAGATGTAGGCCATACCGGTGGCTAGGTGTGTCTTGTTTAATAAACCCATGAGGCTTCTGCATGTGTCCAAGTGAGATGAGAAAGACAAAATGACAGCAGCGCATCAGTGGCATGACTTGAAGCATGGAGCCCAGTTGATATTGAAGCAGGGCAAGGAATAGAAACAACCTGAGGAACAGGAAAGCCACGAGATGAAGAGAGCAGCAGAAGGGGTAGTAGTTTCCTCACAAGTTTGGCCACGGGGATAGAGCAGTGAAAGTAGGGTGCTTTCAGCTGCAGAAGCACCCCTGGTTTGCATTCTGAGTAAACTGGCTGCCAGTGTGATGTTGCTTATGGGGCTCACTTGCAATAATAAGAAAAAAACCCCAGCATTTAGCAGCTTTAAACAGGCTTTAGGCAATATAAGAGCACTGCTCATGAAGAATTTGTCTAATGGATATTTGTCCTACGTGGTTTAGGGCAGATATTTGTGTTAAGGCTGAAGGTATCACAATCCTGAGTGCTCAGGACAGTCCAGTTGGTGTTGCTTCGGTGGAACCTCAGCTTCATGCAATGGTCCAGTTAGTCCCAGGCAAAACGGAGGGCTGAGGGCAGGACTTGCCCATTTTGTGAACAGTTACGACCATGGGACGAAGTAAGCCGGAGAAATAAACTAGTGAAGGTACCCAGTCTGTGGCAAGGGAATAGCTATTCTATAAAAATTCAAAAGCAGGGGCTAAGGGAGTTTCCTAAGCCTCAAATTCAGGTTGTAGGTGTGAAGCTTTCTCCGCTGAGGACATCTTGGGTAAAACAAGCAGGAAGCAGCTGTACCAGTTCTCCAGATGGTACACACATCTGCTGGGTCTAAATTCGCATCTCCTGGGGACATGCAATTAGTTTTCACTTTTGACCAAAGAGAAAAATGTCTCTCCCTCTTCTGAGAAAGCCGGACAAGGTAACTGAACCGCACTCTAAAAAACTAAGAACGCTACCGAAAAGGAACGCTCTCTTCCTTGTTTAGCTTTCATACTCCCGGTTCTTCCCATATGGCACTCACGATCCTCAGAACAGAGCCTTACATTGTAAGCAACCACAAAAATGAACTGTAGGTCTACAGTGGCCTCTGAGAAAGCCACGGGAAGGCATTTGCTCCTCCTATGGAAAGGCCACCTCCATTCTACCTCAAATGGAAGAACCGCTGTAGCCACCTGGTAGCGCAGAGCCGTGGCAGACTCAAGGAGCTCGTGCTCTGCGCAGTACGCAGCAGGGCTACTGCTAGTCATCGGGCTCTCAGCCATGCCCGTGTGAGCAGGAAGAGCTTCAAAACTAGTGATTTGTCAGACTCTCGTTTCAGAAAGTATTCAAAGGTATTTCTTAAGGAAACAGGCGTCTTGCTTGCAGCAACCAAGTAGGGGCACAGCACTACATTTTAATGTCTAGAGTTTTAACAAGCCAGTTACCTGGCCAGAAAAGCCCCAAAGCAGAAACCTCAGGGAGGGCTTTGCAGCAGGAAACTCTTTATCAGTAAAATGGTATTTTGCTCCGTTTCAAAAGCTGGGGATTTTCTAAGCCTCTGGCTTGTGCACCTTTGCACAGTTAGGTGCACATACTCAGAAGGGAGAGGTGCTCCTGTGTCACTCTTACATTCTCCTTACACATGCGCACATGGCTTGAGCTGGTGATCTCAGACCCGAGCGCAGGCGGGATAGTAGCTCCGCAGCCTGT